AAAAAAAAAAAAAAAAAAAAAGAAAAATGTTATTTCTACTTGGGAGGCTGAGGCAAGAGAATCGCTTAAACCCAAGAGTCTGAGATTGCTGTGAGCTGTGATGCCACAGCACTCTACCCAGGGTGACAGCTTGAGACTCTGTCTCAAAAAAAAAGTTATTTGTTATTTCTCTGGATTTTATTTAAAGATTTAGTTTATTCTCCCTGTGAACTTTTCCAACTACAATAAGCATAATTTCATCAAGGTCATTATCACCTACATCTTTTGGTTTTTACAACACATGAATAAAACACATAGGCTTCTGGCTGGGCGAGGTGGCTGACCCCAGTTATCTCAGCACTCTGGGAGGCCAAGGTGGGTGACTTGCTTGAGCTCAGCCAGGAGTTTGAGACCAGCCTCAGCAAGGGTGAGACCTTGTCTCTACTGAAAAATACAAAAACTAGCCAGGTGTTGTGGTGGGTGCTTGTAGTCCCAGCTACTGAGGCAGCTGAGGTAAGAGGATTGCTTGAACCTAAGAGTGACGTGCTATGAACTATGACGCCACAGCACTCTACCCAGGGGGACAGAGCGAGACCCTATCTCAAAAAACAAAAAAACCCCCAGAAAAACCCCAAACCAAACCAAAACAATAAACCACATAGGCTTCTAACCACACCCAGGTATCTACCCAAGAGAAATGAGCAGGTGCGCTCACACAAAACGCCAACAAATTTATGTTGCACACTTACCTCTGCAGCAGCTTTACTCATGAGAGTTAAAAAATCAAAAAGAAACCAAATGTCCTTCCATAGGCAAACAGATAAACCATGGTGTAAGTACAGCCGTGTAGTGAAAACCACTTAGCCAGTGAAAAAAACACACCGGCTACAGGCGACAACGTGGACAGAGCTCACTGACTTCATTTGTCCTTATGCTGAACAAATGAAGCCATGCACAAAAAAGGACATACTGTATGATCCCACTTATGTGAAGTTCAAGGGCAGGCAAGACTAATTGATAGGCATAGAAATCAGAACAGCGTTTATCTAGGAGCGGAGACTGATGGAGAAGGGGTCCAAGGGAAATGATCTGTATCCTGACTGTGGTGGTAGATAGCAAGGTGGACACACTTGTCAGACTCACTGAACAGTGCACTCTAATGCCTGCACTTTCTACACATGTAAACCACAGCTGAACGAAACACAGCGCTTTCACTGGGAAAAAGGCATGCTCCCAGCAAGTGCCCTGCCCACAGGATTAACGGCAATTAAGGTAAGAGCATCACCACGTCCTCCCAACTGGGCTAGCAGAGCTGTGCACACTGGTGCCTCTTATTCCGACCACCCAAGGGATGGAGTTTCTCCATCATTATGCCCTTAATCCAAGAACGACGGCAGATTTGTGCTCTCTGAATCAGGTCATATTATTGAGGGACTGAAGAAAGCTGCACTGGTGAGAGAGGCCAATCCACATAGTCTGGGGTGTTTTTTTTTCTTTGTTTGATTTTTTACCTTGACTCATCCTCTGTAGGTTGGGGAAGGAGCAGTTCGGAAGAGCTTTCCACAAGTACAGCACTTCAATGGATGCCAACACACAGAGCACTTTGGTTGGGGTTTGTTTCCGAAATCTCTCTGCCTGTAAGAAGTTAGATGATTAGCTACATTTTCTTCAAAAACAAGTTCAAATTTAAAAACATACCTTGGACACATTAAAAGTACACAGTGTATGGTCAATGTGCATGGCTCACTCCTTCAAAGCTAAAAATAAAAATTTCTCTGCATTTAAAAAATGTTAGCAGGGTGTGGGGTGGCTCACGCCTGTACTCCTAGTAGGGAGGCTAAGGTAGGAGGATCACTTGAGCTCAGGAGTTTGAGATTAGCCTGAGCAAAATCAAGACCCCCATCTCTACTAAAAATAGAAAAACTAGCTGGGTGTTGTGTTAGGTGCCTTAGTCCCAGATACTCACGAGGCTGAGGCAAGAGGATCACTTGAGAGGTTTGAGGTTGAAGTGAGCTATAATGATGCCATGGCACTCTACCTGGGGTAAAAGAAAGAGACTTGGCTGGGCACCTGTGGCTCAAGTGGCTAAGGCGCCAGCCACACCTGAGCTGGCGGGTTTGTATCCAGCCACGGCCCACCAAAAACAACAATGACGGCTGCAACCAAAAAAAAAAAATAGCCGGGTGTTGTGGTGGGTGCCTGTGGTCCCAGCTACTTGGGAGGCTGAGGCAGGAGAATCGCTTGAGCCCAGGAGTTGGAGGTTGCTGTAAGCTGTGATGCCACAGCACAGCATTCTACCCAGGGCGACAGCTTGAGGCTCTGTCTCAAAAAGAAAGAGAAAAAAGAAAATATTTTCCTCCAGTTTTTAACATAGTGGTTGATGACATGCTCTTCATTCATCATTCAACTCAAACTACTGTCAAGATCCTAGGTATATTCGGAAAACTTGGGGATGAGATTGGATTTGTTTTAGTTTAAATAGATAGAATTTATAAAGCTAAGTGACAAATAATAACTCAAAAGGACTTATATGGATGGTCTAATATTAGACAACTTCTAGTTATCTAATATTAACTAGATGTCTAGTGATCGTTTAATTTTGTACATAGTGCCAGTGGTTTTAGTTGCATTCCATATTATAACTTAATTTGCGCTCAATAAAAACTGTAAAGCTAAACACATGGAAAATTCAGGATATAGGATGTTATATAGAACTCAAAGGAATTCGGCAACATTTTATTCCCCAAAGCACAGAATGAACTGCGGACCTTGTCCCTACAGCCCTGGGCCTTCCTGCTGGTAAACGTGATGCCCACATTCACTTTTTACTATGTCAAAATGTGACCTGTTCACTCTCCCAAACACCAGGCAGCATCGCTCATGAGGCTCTGCTAATTTGTGTTCCTCAGAAACCACCTGACTCTTTAGACAGTAGTTCCCCTCTAGAGCAGTGTTTTTCAACATTTTTTATCTCATAGCACATATGAACCTATAAACTTCCGTGGCACACACTAAATTATGTTGATCAAAAAAAAAGTTTAAAAAAAATACTACTGTGCTTTGAACTTTTTTTTTTGAGACAGAGTCTCGCTTTGTTGCCCTCGGTAGAGTGCTGTGGCAGCATAGCTCACAGCAACCTCCAGCTCCTGGGCTTAAGCGATTCTCTTGCCTCAGCTTCCCGAGTATCTGGGAACAGGCGCCGGCCACAATGCCCAGCTATTTTTTGTTGCAGTTTGGCTGGGGTTGGGTTTGAACCCACCACCCTCAGTATATGGGGCTGGTGCCCTACTCACTGAGCCACAAGCGCCACCTGCTTTGAACTTCTTTTGAAAATAATTTTTTTTTTTTTTTTTTTTTT